CATGTCAATATGTGCAGTGTACTTAAACATCAGAGTCAAACAATTTTTTTATTAACGATTCTAATTCTTCCTTTCACAACTTTTTTATCTACTGTCCGAATCAACATCTTTATTTTGTTTTTTATATAGGACTGATCAAAGAAACCTATTTTCAAATTAATACCATAACTTATGCTAAATGAAATATACGTATATTAGGTGTTATCAAACCTGCTGTAGTTTTGAAATCTGCTTTATTTGAGTATAGGTCTTGAGAATATCAAATTAAACGTAATTTCAATCTCTAGAAAATAAGATAAACATATAATGGGGTGTTAAATTTAAAATAAGTGAGTTTTTTACATACATCCATTTTATCAAAGTTTGGATGTGCTTCGCACACGCTGTATTTCCGATGAGGTGAAATTTGAAAAATTACAGTAATAAGTCGCTAGACCATTACTTGCTGATATAATGTTTCCTCCATTAGCAAACTGAGCCATTATGAGGATAACTAAATTTGACCAAATATGCAATGCAATACTCAATATATCTCAAAAACGGAACAGAACATGCTTGTACATTTAATGACAAACAATGTTCCAAGTCAGGTGTACAACCCGAAAGTGCAATGAAATGCACGAGTTGCTGTTTAAAAACGATGAAGTCATTATCTCTCTGGCAAAACCCTGTACATACTGTATGAACTTTAATTCAAACCAAGAATCATTATATGTTACCCTTTCCTGTATAATGTATGGCTTCTGAGAGGAGATGGATGATTACATTAACGACTCTGTATATACATTCATACATATAGGTCCTTTCACGGTTTTTGGTAGTTTCGGTTTAGAATCATACAACTACACAACAAGTGGCAATAAACCAGCAGAACTACTATTGCATATTCAGTAAAATCCATATAACACTGACGTCGTAATGTGTACGAAACAGAAGCGCAAGCGGCGTGCAATACGTATACATATTAGAAAAAGATAGAAGTACCTCGTTGCCTAGCAACCCGAGTGACGAGGCCACGGACGCATCAGCTGCGGCTTTCCGGGTTGCCGTCAGCGCTCTCTTCCTAACATACACAATGCACGCTCTCCTCTCGTATCCATTACGACGTCAGCCAAATTTGAACCTCACCATATAACAAAAGTCAGTACAATTCAATTCATTTAAGACACGTCTTGCTAAAGCTGTATTATTTCCATTATGTTTTAAACAATATGTTTTACAACCTAAAATTATTTAATAATATTTTCCAGCTTTAAGAATGCTGGTGACAGCTTTAAATAGGGAAAAACATTTGGGAAAAAGCCTTTCCATATACTACGTAACTAACGCAGCTTCCTTATTTCGGTGAGACAGAACAAAGGTTTGTCTCGCTACTGCGCAAAATTGAAATAGCGTAGATCATAACTAAGCAGCAAAACAAGAGTACTAAAAACTTTCATAGCTTGCCGATTGTAAGCTATGCTAAAAAACACATAAGACTGACCCAACTGACCAATGCTGTGATACAGATTATACATTTACGACACCTTTGATCTTCGTGTCCACAACGGCATTTTCCGCTTATGTTCATTAGCGTCCGAAGGATTTTTTCCTATGGGTTGTTACGCTTTTTAGCCTGACGTCCGAATGTCATACGTCAAACAACAGAATCAAGAAATTTTTTTGTTTATATATATATATACAGGGTGACTTCGAAGTTGAGTCATTTATTTTAACAGTGAGTAGATCTGATCAAAGAAATTTTTTTTCCTTACCATTTTTCTGGTAAAATTAAAGTAACAAAGTTATAGCCCTTTGGAAGTTTGAGTACCGCCCTGTCTCAATGTGCTCGTGTTTGGCGACAACGGATATAATCCGTCGTATCGGTTCATCGCATCGGAAACAAAAAAGCGAAAGAATTTGGAACGAATTATTTCATTCATTTGTATACAGTCAGTGTCAGTGAATAGTTGTATCTGTTGCGTGGCTCAAACGAAATAAAAATGGCACATGTTTATGCGGATCGGTTTCCCAATCGAGTGCAAACCAACCCCTCGTGCCTTTGTTAATGTAGTACAACGGGCTCGTGAATCAGGTGACTTAAGACCTCACAGGGGACCTCACGATCAAATACAGGTCCGCACTGAAATACTTGTCGGGAGGATACTTTATAAAACAAGGTAAACATTTTTTTTATTTTTTTTTTTTTTACACACATATTTTGGTTTATATTCCTTCTACAATCATTATCTGAAAATTAATGACTCAACTTCAAGATATATATATAACCAAAAAAAAAAAAAACGAAAACCAAAAATGAATGTTTTTGATAACCCCTAAATCCTAAATGTCACACTAACACGAATCCCACCAAAGGCAGAGGACTCAAGTTGGCGTTGATAGAACCTGATTTTTAAAAGTGTCCCCTCTGAAACGTGGCCAGTGTTTATTTAAGCTTTATAATTTTGCCACCAGAAGCGCTCCTGCTATTTACTGTATCTCTTGGAATTGCCAATCCCCCAATTATTTATCTCTGCCTCTGACATTTGACTTGACAGTGACAGTATTGACGCTGACATCAGAACTGACATTGATGTTGACACGTCGACGGCGACGCATTTCTTGTATGTGGTTAGCTCAGATTTTTCATTGCCAAAACACAACAAATTCATATTTTGTTTAGCAGAAATGGTTTTAATTCTGTATAAATCAATCCTTACATCAGTAAACTTTTAAAAGACTTGTTAATACGGTGCCGCCATGGGTGTTCCAGCATTTTTCAGGTGGCTGAGTAGGAAATATCCATCAGTAATCGTCCCTTGTGTTGAGCAAAAGGTTAGAATTGTGCATTAATTTTTGTACCAATTTCTTAACTTCGCCTTTACGTATTTCAGCCAGTTGATATTAATGGGGTCAGAGTACCAGTAAATTCGGCAGAACCGAACCCCAATGGGGTCGAATTTGATAATTTATATTTGGACATGAATGGGATTATCCATCCATGCACTCACCCTGAAGACAGACCGGCGCCAAGAAACGAGGACGAGATGATGATTGCTATTTCGATTGCATAGACAGGTAAATAGAATGCTGTAAAAAAATGCTACTAAGCTGAGAAGCATACTAGAGCAAACAGATGGCAGGGATTCTCGTCTTGCTATTATCTTAAATTTAGTCAATAGGTAGACTGATATGGATCATCTCAAATTTGGAATGGTGTAGTGTAGACACTAGTAGTTGGGTGTAGATATATGCAGATATACATCCTACTGTGAGAATCAACTATTTTTAGTACCCCCAAAATAACTTCAATTTAAAGATACCTGGTGTATCTATGAGTCTTACCCTTTTAGCCATTAATAGCAGTCAATTTATAAGGGCTTTCAAAAGTTCCAAAAACTAATTGAAAGTTATAGAATTACTTGAAACAACGATTTATGTTATCAGCAATTTTTAAGGGCTCAAAGTTGCAGGTAACAGCTATTAAATGTATATTTTTTTATATAGAACTCCTGGAGTTGCAAATTTTATACACTTGGGCAACATAGTAATTTAGTGTTGCATTCTCCAAAGGAAAAATTTTAAAATAACATTATATAAAAACTAATTAATAAATGAATAATCATTAGAGTGTTGAATATGGATGTACAGTGTTTATAAATACTCTGTTTTCTTTGACACTGAGTATATTAAAAAATTTGCTTTGCAAGTACTAATTCATCAAATTTTTGTATGCTATGCTAAACATATCTACTGTCACAAATATTATCAAGAAGTTGTGTATATGTCAAGATGAACAATTATTATCTTGTTATGGTTCTTCTTTCCTACAATATATTCCAGAAAATGTTTGCTATTGGATTACTACTACTGTTATGATAACGTTTATTGTAGCTTGATTTTTTTACTTTTTAGCCACCATGTGATATAGCTTTGTTTGTTTAAGATATATTTATCATGATTGTTAGAATTACATTCTTTCGAAAATCTACAACAATCCATAATATAAAAATATTCAGAAAAACAAAACATCTCTAAAAATGTTCACTGTCCATGAAATGTTCCATTCTTTTAAACATCTTTAAATTACAGTTATCACTTTATATCATATTAAATTCAAGTAAACTCTTCTGAAATATTGATTTGCTAGTTAGATTACTATTGCAATTTTAATGATTATTCCATTCTATGTAATGTTCTAAATGTTGTGGCAAAAGATGATTTTTTTTTAAATATGAAAATAAGAACCAAATGTGAAATTTTTTATATTCAACCACTGCAATTCTTGTTACAGATTTTATTTTGGTGTTCTTATTTTTATTCATTATTCATCAATTTTCAATATAGGTTGTTCCGCATAGTGAGACCTAGAAAACTGCTGTACATGGCTATAGATGGTGTTGCTCCTAGGGCAAAAATGAACCAGCAGCGCTCAAGACGGTTCAGAGCATCCAAGGAGACACAAGAAAAGATACAAGAGATCAAAAGGATCAGAGCAGAGTTGATTTTGAAAGGATGCCAGTTGCCTCCAGAGAAGCCCAAAGAAGAACATTTTGATTCAAACTGTATCACACCTGGTACACCATTCATGGCAAGGTTGTCAGAGTGTCTGCACTACTATGTCCATGAGAGGCTCAATAATGATCCTGGTTGGAAAGGCATCAAGGTGAGATAATTATTATTGCTTCATGTGAAACATTCAAACTATTATGGACATTATAATACATGCAGTATGCTTGAAAATTCCCTTCACTACTCATATGTATGGTAAGACACTGAATTTATATTTGTGGAGAATCCTATCTATGTAATAATTACAATTAGGATTATTTGTGGAACTGTTTTGTTTAATACAATAATTGTAATCATAATTTTAACAATAATGATAATACTTTATTATGCTATTACACAGAAGTGTGTCTTCACATGTCAGTTTTACAGGAAAATAGAACAGAAAAAGTAAAAACAGCAAACAATCTGTAAATAAGACATGCATAAAACAGACATTAAGTGTCAATGAAAGGTAAAAAAATAAAGTCCTTAAAAATGCAGTTAAAAACCTATATAGACAATAAAGACAAACACGTTAAAAAGGAGGGCTCGTCACCTATTGGGTTTGTTCTTGTTTGACCCCAATCAGCACGGATATTACTAACTGACATTTTGTAGTTTTTTTTTTTACATTTCGTAGATTTTCTACAAGATGTTTACTTAGCACAAGCTTATACACTTTTTGTGAAGTCCTTTTGTAGCTGTATGTGTTGCTTAAACATCAGTGAACAGCGATCATAGCAACCAAACGTGGAATGAACGATTTGCACACTAAAATCTACCTAGTCAGTAAGATGAATTTGTAACATTTTTTTTTTGACGTTTTTTAGGCTTTTTATAGAATAGTTTTTTTTTTATACTCCAACTACAATGAAGGCCTGATGCCAAAACACCCATTGGGTACCATGGGGCTATAGGGGGAAAGGGGGAACGCCACACGGACTCTGGCGAGGGAACACGTGTGCATGCAACATGCACACATTCTGACTCCGCCTACGAGATCCGCCGGGTGGTACTTCCGCGTTCGACAGTCAGAGACCGTCTACCACCTACGGACGATCACAACATCCATAGCCAAGAGAAAATTTCTCTGCATATCTCATTATGGACATTTAAATCACCAAGAAGAACTGTCTCTGAAGCAGGGTAATTGATGTTCAGGAAGTCGATTTTGATAGTGAAATATGTCATCTCAATTATGGTCTGAGGGAGAGCAATAGAGGCAGCAAATGAGGGGGATAGTTTAGAGTTATGGTGAAGCTACATAAGGTCCTTCCGGACTGATTCCAAAGAAAATAGTCCTAAAGTGGCCTGTTGGCGGACTTGTATCGTCTCCCGGCAATCACTGAGGTTCACTTGAGCGGGAAGAGTTGTATACAGAGTACAACAACTTCCGGAACATGAATTTGAGACTCAATATTGATGTAGATGATACAGTTTATTCCAGAAACATACATTTCAAGTGAAACTGTCAACGTCATAGAATAAAGGTTATTCTCCTCATAACTAACTGAATCCTAACCTCCAATGCACAAACACGGTTATACACTAATTATGTAGAAAAACTTATAATGTCAAACTAGAATTTATGATGTCATAAAAATCTCACTACATCTCATTCGTAAAATATAAATATTCGGTCGAATCTTCGTTTCTATGCCTTCAAAAAAATATGCATAAAATTAGTCATTAATAATTGCTGCATTCTTTTGTTTTGATCTACTCGATCCCAAGTGATCGACTCAATTTTATTCTGTGTGATTTCGTATCAAAATCACTTCCCATGCCATAAAGTGATCTGTATATTTTGCTGATTTCAGGTCATTCTGTCTGATGCCAACGTTCCCGGGGAAGGCGAACATAAAATAATGGACTACATCAGAAGACAGAGATCTCAGCCTGACCATGATCCCAATACCCAGCACTGCCTATGTGGTGCTGATGCTGATCTCATCATGTTGGGACTTGCCACACATGAACCAAATTTCACCATCATCAGAGAGGAGTTCAAACCTAATCAGCCAAAACCTTGTGAGATTTGTGGACAATTAGGTAAACATATACATTGTCTTATTAACAAAACGTCCAGTAGGTAGAGTCGAAACCTGCACAGTAGCATCTGCCTAAAAGTAAAACATTTAATTGGATTTCAGGTCTATTAAAGTATTTCTAATATCTCTTAGAAAATTACAATTTTTCGAAACTTTAAGCTGCGCGGGAAGTGTTTGATGGCATTTTTCAAAATCATTAATTTTTGCGAATTTATACTTATTTTTATATTTTCTGTATTTATCTTGATAGAACGACATGGTCTCAAATGTTTCGAAGTACTTCTAAAATCTAAATGATATTAATGCAGAATTTCACGAATACTGCTAATAAAACGTAATTATACCGAATTTATTATTGATGAACTTCCTGTCATAGAGTCGATTTTTTTCATTAAATACGTTGAGAGAGATTTTATGTCTCTGTATTTCATTTTTTCATAAAACTTTGTAGTTGGGCTATTCACCAGAAATAAAGTGAATAATGTGGGGTAATAGGTGTACATCGATCACCGTGCACTCTGTGGACAAAAATGGCAACATTGTCGGGTGGATAGTGGAATATACAGTATATTCAGATAAGAGATAGACCGGACATAAACAAGACCACGTGATCATCGAACGCTGTAACATTCGGCAGGGACGTATTAAGAGTCACGCAGTACATATTTTAGATAGTAGATGCTGCTTTGCGTAACTTTGTAGTAAATTAGCACAATTCGATGTGTATACGATTGGTGATGGATATAGGATCATGTGGGGGTGGGGTAAGAAATATATAATGATGTAATATACATAAGGGTTTCAAAATTTTCGCTTCGATTTCCAGCTTCGGATGCCGTCTGATGTTTGGTGAAATACAGTCGAATATAATCTCAAAATGGCGTTTAAATTAGCCTATAATTATAACAAGGTATAACAATAACAACGACAAACTCAACAACTTAATAAGATAACAAGCGAAAACGTCCAAAGAAATATCAAATTGCAATGATGCACACGACATACGTAACACGTCTGAACCTGAATGTGACTCTGCCTTGATACGACTGCTCTGCCGCTCGGCATAGGCATTTAATTGTGAATTGACCAATGAGGGCTCCTGTTTTACGTCGAGACGGCGGCGTTAGCGTGAAAATCACCCGAACCTTTTGTTTACATCCGGTCTATCTCTTATCTGAATATACTGTAGACTTTAGGGAAATCTGTGTCATGTGGAGTCATGAGGCAAGCCCAATGTACAAATACTTCACTCTCATCATTTGTCAGATTAGAGAATCTTTAGTTTGAAATTCTGATTGTTCCCAACCTCAAATCGGCTAATTATCTGTTATTTTCATTGTTATCCGCTAGCTGACGCTAAGTTCGCGCACGTAGCGAATAACGTTGAATTGGTAATTCCAACTGCATATGAGCTGAAGTAAATTAAAAATAAAGCACTCGTGATTTATAACAGGGAACTTTATTAAAATAGAACCTTGAACAAAAAGTTTTGAGGTTAGGTTCACTGCTTGCGACTGTCGGTGAAAATAATTTGAGGAAAGAAGTACTGTGACAACTTAATACATAGAATTTTTCAGGTCATGAAATGAAAGACTGCATTGGCGGCAGCAGGTCAGAACACGAGAAGCCAGCAGACCTTCCCATATCAGCGGAGACCGATTTCATTTTCGTACGATTGAACGTCCTGAAAGAATATCTTGAAAAAGAACTCTTTATGCCTAACCTTCCTTTTAAATATGAATTTGAAAGGGCTCTGGACGATTGGGTGTTCATGTGTTTCTTCGTGGGAAACGATTTCTTGCCGCATTTGCCTAGCCTGGAGATCAGAGAGGGGGCTATTGACAGGTTGATCAGGTTATATAAGGACTGCGTCTATAAAACTGGGGTAAGTGTCACAAAGTACATAAAGTTTACTTATAGAATAGAATCAATGCTCATTTAGTTATGAGCTACAATATTGCATTGACAAAAATCACATATCACTTGGTTCTTCTGAATTATAAAGTCCTTGTTTCCTTAATCCTTCAAAAAAAAAGATTTTTTCGCTAGGTTTTGAACTTGAGCTGTAGAAGATTATGACACAGCTATCTAATTGCAATGTTTCATAAAATGTTCATTCTTTTTGACTTTTTCGATTTGGTTCACATAGCTGTGGCAGTTTTTGTCAAATACATCATGGTCATATGAAATACTTGGGATGTTCAATACTTCGTGCGCATATTTACAATTCTGTGGCAAATAGTTGAAAAGGGCATAAGAAAAGTTTTGTGACTTAAATAATTTTTACCAAGGAGACTAGATCAATTTGATCCTAGCCTCAATTTTTATTGTGATTTTCCTCCATATATATATGCATGTACAAGTTTACTGAATTATTCTTATAGACATCCTCCCAACCAATATATAAAGTGTCATAAATCGAAAAACTGACTTATGCCCTTTTAACTATTTGCCACACAATTATTGTGTACTTCTCAGTCTGACATGCTTCCTTCATGTGATTTTGTATGGACATACTACAACATAATTATACTTCCCATGTCCAAATCGACAAGATTTGTAACATCCAAGAACACTAAAAATGTATAACTGTAACTAAAAGGACTCACAAATACGAAATGTTTTAATTTGTTTAGAAGAAAAAAGTAACCTTTGCTTTTCGCATAGAAATAACATTATCTTTCAGAATGGTTTTTGATTCATATCAGCAAGGTAAACACACACACATTTTGCTATTAAATGCTCTCTGAACGAACGCTGTATATTGCTCAATAAACTAGTAGTGATGGCCGGAAAAACGGGTGTTTTAGGATAAACAATTAAAAGTTCTCAAAAAACTACTTGACCAATATACTCCAATTTTGTTGTTGTTATTTAGAAGTATGAATCCTACGATTTGAAAAATTTCAACTAGTGATCGTCGCATTACCAAGTACCAAATCCTGCATTTTGCCTCATTTTTCGGCCATAACATTTTGCTATTAGTCGGATTTTTTTTACGTGTGGTTTCATTCTGTAGGCCTCATAAATACCTAAAAATCGTATATGAAAAGTTTTTTCGTTCCTGCCAACACTTTCGATTGAATCCCAAAAAACACGTTTTCTCATTCTTCGTTGTCAAATAAGTTTTCCCCCAAAAATTGGTGTACCCATTTTATGCGTCCATGTTTTAAATACCCCTCGAACAACTTGCACCAATAAAACCAGACTTTACAGCTATTTCGGTTAAATTGCTAATATGATTAGACTATAGGATTCAAATTCAGTTTTGGAGTTGAATCAAGCTGAAATATACTATAGTGTAGGGTTAATTTCAATTCTATAAATGGCTTTGCATTTCGCTTATATTATTTATTATAAGAGACAGCCTTAGTTATGAAGCGTCTTCAACAAACTAATGAGTAGTAACCTCCGTAATATAGGCGATAGAACGCAAACGAAAATTGGAGTTTCAAACATACTTCAAATTCTAATTTTTATTAGTCAGTTAGTTTATACTTAGTTTCCAAGGTGACAAAAGTGTATTCCCGGTTCTTCAATCCGATTCGGACCCAAGGATTTCAGAGAACTACCCCTACTAAATAGTAATCATACTAAAACGATCGATAGTATTTGTACATAACTTCACAATAAATATTCAAGGCTAAATTATTATCCGTTTGCAGTGTTTTTATTATAAAATTTAATTCCAGTCTGTAGATGTCTCAGTAACAAGTAAAAAACGTCACAATGTATCCCTGAATTTTCATTGGGGAGCTAAAACAAATACTATAAAAGTCAATCGTATGTTGTTATGATAGAAGAGTACCACGCATAACCAAATGTATTTTTACTTTTTAGGGTTATCTAACAAATAGCGGGGATGTTAAACCTGGAAAGAGTTCAGATGATAATGTTGGAACTAGGCAAAGTAGAAGACGAAATTTTTAAGAATAGACAGCAGCGTGAACTTCAGTTCAAAGCGAGAGACAAGGCGAAAAAAAGGAGGGCCGCTTATAATGAACACAGGCCGAATATGACATTTTTTAAGGGGAACACAGTTTGAGCCTCAGGTGACTATTTTTCATTACTACAACCGAATTACAAAACATTGAGACTCTAAACTGATATGTCAGAGATGGTTGCTGATGTCCACCAAAACCCATAGGCTATGCTATATATATTATAAATTCACCAACACAGGGGTATTTTCTACCTAGACGACATGAATTTTTTAATAGTTGAAATCAATTGTTTACATTCATATCTAGTCATGATACAGTTTACACTCGTTGTTTTGCTCGTGTATTGGAAAAAACCTATTTGCATACATTTTCCCTATTTTCCGCCAACCTTTTTATTCTGGATATCATTATAACGTGACAATATACATCTTGTAAATCGATCAAATTCTAAGAATAAAGGTTATTTCCTTGCATCTGACGAAAGCCTAACATAATGGCAGAAAAAGCAACTTTTCTAAAAAATAATTCCATGAGCAGCCAAACATACAAACCAATTGAACCCAAATGCTTGATAGCTCTTCTCTTCCATTCAAACACATCCTGGTCTGCTTAAAGTGCGCTCAAAATTAACGAGAGGGAAGTCGTGTTTCCAAAAAAAATGTATACCCACTTGAAAATTTCTATTGGAGATTACATGTCAAATTTGCCTTTTTTATATTTCTCTGGAACCATATGACTAACATTGCAATTCTGTATTCAGCTTGTTGCTGTTTATGTATTCTTTGATTTATAGAATAGTAGGGTAGTCAGTGATGAATTGACACTGTCAATCAACAACACAATTAATAATAATAAACCGTCTTATTGATTAGATAATGAATTTACTATATTAGAAGTACAATACCAGTGGCAAGTCAAGCTGTACAGGGCGTTTCACAACTTATCCGACAAATTTTAACCACATATGCTATGTTACGAAAGAAGTTGATTTCTCAAAAAAAAAATGTAATAAAAGTCCTACAGAAATCGAAATAATAAATAATACAGCTTAACAGTTCACTTACTTATAAAAGCGGTTCAAAATGTTTCCATTGACTGCAATGCAAGCCAGGGCGCGTCTAATCCAATTTCGGCGCACTAATTCAAGTACACCTCCTTCCTGCTGTGCCTGAAGAATCAAATTATCGGCAGCCACTGTGATTCGGTCACGCAATTCTTCAATATTCTGAACTGGAGTACGGTATATACCTCGTTTTTCAAGTATCCCCATAAAAAGAAGTCCTGAGGATTTAGATCGGGAGACCGTGGAGGCCATACAATTGGTTCACCCCTTCCGAACCAGCGTATTTGGTATACTTGATTAAAAAATCACGAACTTCTAAACGAAAATGCGGAGGTGCCCCATCGTGCAGAAATCCCGTGCTCGGATCGCCAATGGCATATCTTCAAGAAGGACGGCAAATCATTCCGAAGAAATTCCAAATACTGTTACGGTCCAATTAGACGTTCATCGACAATACCTGCCCACACGTTTAAAGAAAAACGATGTTGGAAGAGTGTCTGGACCACTGCGTGAGGATTCTCAAAGCACCAAACGTGCATATTATGAAGATTGGTTATCCTATTACGAGTCAAAATAACTTCATCAGTGGCCAAAATATCAGCTGTAAAACGGGCTTTTCTAGCATTTTCTTGCAACAACCACTCACAAATCTTACTCTTAGGGGGTAGTCTATAGGTAGCAACTCCTGGACTCTCTGGACCAAAAATGAAACAGCATACACAGGACCGCATTTTAAGGGTGTCTTTTTATGTAACATTTTCTCCTCGAGGGCTTCATTGAAAGATACACGTTGTTGAAGTTTAAAAATAAATAACATTTTTTTTTACTATCTTGAAAACCGTCAACCAGAACGAACTAAAATTTGGTATGTGGATTTACCCAAGTATTGTCCACATTCAAAAGTCTTTACTTAAAATTAACCTGCACCAGTGGCGGAGCTACAGGTGATTAGTGGCATTTTTCCAAATAAAAATTGTACGCTACTGTTTTTGTTTTTCGAAATGCGCAATTTCTCGAATTTTACCTTCATTTCAAATAATTACTCTTGTGTTTTTACGACTTGTGAATCACTCGATTGAAGCTCTTCATTGAGAGTTCGTTCTGCTTAGCTCTGTCTTTTATAAGAAAACTAAAATAAACTTGGATGTCTCCAGCAGACGCTTGCACTTTCACTTTTTGTATTTCACTTAAAAGATCCGCCGTGTATGTTATGTGTGACAAGGGTCCAAGTACCGATCTTTGTCGCATCCGAAAAACTGTTTAGTGTAGTGTCACAATAATACGTTTCCATATGAATAAACTATTTTTATTGTACAATCATGGTACTATTTTGAACTGATGTAACTGTCAGTAAGTGTTTTCGCATTTATTCCAGGCCATAGGCCAACAACAGACACTGACGAACGTGAAACAAGAAGCGCACAACATACGCAGGGCCGGCATGAATTCTAACATGGATGCTAAACTTAAACCACTAACAGTAAAACAGCATTAGAGGCGATGATGTCTCCGACAGACTCGAAGGGGCAAAAGAGGAAGATGAGGACGATGAAGATGATTCAGATGACGATCAAGCGCATGATGAAGTTCGGTTATGGGAGGACGGATTCAAAGACAGGTACTACGAGTCCAAGTTTGACGTGGGACCACAGCAATTAGAATTTAGGTAAGATTTCACTATTGTTTTTGTATTGACAGAAGGCTGCAATGTATCAAATTACTGAGATTTTGTCCTACAATTTACAGTGGAGCTACACCAACCATAAAATTAATGTTGCTAGATAGTAATGTATCATCTAAAACTGAACCTATATAGAACTGAAAGCTTCACTGTCATTCACTGACAGTTAGTAGTAAAGTCTGGCTAATAATTCCGATTTCCAAAGATTGCAGATTTTACAAAATGTATGAGGATACTAAAAATAAATATACACCAATCAATCAAATGCTCAATACCTAAAATGGCTTAACATTAAAAATTTCTGCAAATACCTAATCATGATTTTTTTTATAAGGTGAAAAATCATTTATTGCCATATCTATCTGCAATATCTTTTGTCGATGCTGACTATGATTTTTATGTACCAGACACAAGCATGATTTCCATTTAAGCGCAAAAAATGCAAGGATATATACGAAATTGATTTTAATCAAGGATTTCAACAAATTAGATTCAGACATGAAACAGCAAATAGCCGTAAACAATATTTGAATCAAAACTGAGAGACTTTGTTAGGATTGCAAATATGATAATGCGTCATTTCCTTTATCTCGTTTTACAATTCTTGGATAACATCGAGATTACTCTTCCTGGTACGTCCTTAAATCTTCGAAAGTTGCATTCAATATATCCGCACCAATTTCAATATTTTGTTATGAACCAATACAATACCTTATGTTAAAACCTACATTATCGTTGTATCTCCGCGCGGAAATGAGTAGGACCTTTTGAGTATAAACTTGCCCTAATATGTGCAGGCACAAATTGAATTCAATATAGTTCTCAGGAGAACCTGAAACTAATACACTACGTTTATTAAACTAGCCGTGCATATCTGACATCAAACGTAAAAACATTTGAACAGTTAGTCTAGTCAAATAATTGAGCTACTCGTATTCTACATATTCGGCTCTTCCCTCATTTGATCTACATTACGATAATCAAATGAATCCTTGTTAGCGTTAAACTAAGAGAAATATTTATAAGGATCACGTTTGCATTCTAGAAGCTCTTTTAAAAATTAACCTCGTTTTGCAGATATTCCGTCGCTTTACAATACGTAAGAGGGCTGTGTTGGGTCCTCAAATACTATTACCAAGGATGTGCTTCATGGAAATGGTATTTTCCGTATCATTACGCTCCATTCGCATCAGATTTCTGCAATATATCGGGATTGAGTACAGAATTTGAAGCCGACACCAAACCGGTAAGTATTTGAATATCCTAAATATCTGGTTATCAGTATAATCGTTATTCGAAATAATCAGTGGCGAAGCGTCCATGTATCCATTGTTACCATTGGTAACAGTTAAGAATCTTAAAATAAATAATTTATGACTACTGTGAAATAATTTCATTCATTTATTTACCCAGCAATATGTACTAGTAATTCAGTAAATAGCAGATTAGCCCCACGAAAATAATGCGCCCTATAATACTGTCTAGATTTTGCGAACGCGATGAAGCCGACTCGCCTCGACTTGGTTGTTACCATTTTCGTTTATGGATACACTTGATAGCCCGCCGGGGACAGTTGGTGCCGGCTCGTGTCTGATCGCGGTCGCCTAAGTGCTTGGCCGCCGCGATTATTATGTAGGGCTTGTTACCATTTTTTGTTTTGGTTACTCACTTCTCTCTCGTTAGCGTTAGTAATCTTTTTTTTTTTATATATATCGAAACAGCCGCGCAGGCAGAAGCCTAAATGCCGGAACACCGCGGCTGCTATGATGATCCAAAGAAATTTTGTTAATACGATTTTGAACTGCCTAAGGTTAGTAGAACTGGGAAAAGCTTCCTCCCGTAGATTGTTCCACATCTAGACACCCTCGGACAAAGGAGCGGTCGTATCGGCCAGTTCTGGATGTACGAAGTTTGACACGGTTAGGATGGGACGCCGAAGTCAGGCGGGTCTGTCCTGCAGGCACATCGCGCGGCGGCATCATGGAAGAGAGCTCTGAGGAGCAAAGGCCCGTTGGTGTAGCGATAGAAAAGAGCTAGATCGCCGACGGCCCGCCGGTGCGAAAGAGTCCCGAGACTGTCTGTTAGAGAAGAGTTAGTCGATCAGTCGGACCGCCCTCCTCTGGGCAGCATACGAGCATGGACAATGTAGTCGGGGCGGCAGCACCCAAATGTGTGAGCAATACTCGAGGGCTAGCCTTATCTGGGCCTTGTATAGAGTGAGAAGGTCATGCGGAGAAAAGTACTTCTTAGCCCTAAACAAATAGCCTATCTTTTTCCAGCAGCTGCAGCTATTGAAGAGATGTGCTCGTGCCAGATCAGGTCCTCGGTGATGGACTCCGACCAGCCGAAATGAATGGCTCTTTGGTAGAACTCGACCGTCCATCGAAACTGTATGAGCGCTAGGACGCTTTTTGTTCGTCAAAGTACAGTACTGTGTTTTGGAAGCATTGAACTGTACAAGATTGTTGCGTCCCCAAGCAGTGGATAGCTCCAGGTCTCTTGTCAGAGAAG